AACACAAGCAGGGGCAGAGGGAGAGGGAGAAGCAGGCTTCCCGCTGAGCAGGGAGCCCGATGCGGGGCTCGATCCCAGGACCCTGGGATCATGGCCTGAGCTGAAGGCAGACGCTTAACGACTGAGCCACCCAGGCTATTTATTTATTTTTATTTATTTATTTATTTATTTATTTATTTTTAAATACTTTATTCATTTGAGAGAGAGAGCACAAGCAGAGGGAGAAGCAGGCTCCCCACTGAGCAGGGAACCTGATGCGGGGCTCGATCCCAGGACCCTGGGATCATGACCTGAGCCGAAGGCAGACGCTTAACCGACTGAGCCACCCAGGCGCCCTACTTTCATATTTAGCTATCAGTTTTAGACAGTTCTGTATAAATAAAATAGCTATTCCTCTAGAAGCAGTGTGCATGTAGCCAGTGTTGTAAATTTAAATTCTGCTTGCAGAGGTTCACGTGTCCAATCCAAAGATGTTTTCCTATGTTTATATTTATTCATTCAGTACTCATGAACTCCCTGTAGAAGACACTATTCCACACTGTATTATACATGGGGGAAGAGAGTATATAAAGATGACCAACATGCCTTCCTGCCAATTTAATACTTAGAACACACAGGGCCTGGGACTTGATATAATTCCTCCATTGCATGGGGTGCCTGGGAGGCTCAGTCACTTAAGCGTCTGTCTTCTGCTCAGGTCATGGTCCCAGGGTCCTGGGATCGAGCCCCGCATCGGGGTCCCTGCTGAGCAGGGAGTCTGCTTCTCCCTCTGCCTCTCCCCCTAGCCTGTGCTCTCTCTCTTTTAAATAAAGAAATAAAATCTTTAATAAAAAAAAAATTCCTCCATTGGGAAGAGCAAAGGTCATGTTTTATTAATAATCTGAACTCACTTACCACCACTGCCTCCCTCAGCAATGTATATCAGGTCCTCAGCAATGATTTGTTAAATTAATTATAAATAATAATATAAATAAATAAATTGATTAATTTCCTCTACTCTTCCAGGTATGCTTATCCGTGCGTGCATTTGTGTGTGTGTATGTGTGTGTGTGTGTGTGTGTATGTTTGTAAATAAAGCCTTTTGAGTTTACCTAAAGTCAATTCTGACTTTCACAGACTCCCGGTCCACCTTCCTCAGCCATAGCCAGCGGCTGAAGTGTGCTCTAGGAATGAGGATGAGTTTTAATGTTGACACAAGCAAAACACAACTAAGAAAACATGTTAATAAATTGAATAATATGTTCCTAACTGAACCATAGATGATCTTTGGATCACAGATATCCCCGTATAAAAAAGCCAAAGTGCTGATTACTTCCTTTATATAAGAATGATCTTTCGAAAAGGGCTGTCCTCCCCACCCTACCCCCTGCCCCAAGGTAAGTGTTTAATGCTTCTGTTTGAGTTGTAAAGGCCAGAACAGCCATACAGGCTTGTTTTGCATTCCAGCGCACACACACTTACCACACTGATGCTTGCTTTGGGCTGTTTTAGGTCATAACTTCCTCTGCTTGTGTAACTTCATTTTTAGCTGTAATTGGCATTGTTAAAAATCCCTTCACTGATAAATGGTTGACATACGAAAAGCTATACATATTTAACATATACAACTTGATGAGTTGTATCTTTGGAGATAAGTATATACCTGTGAAGCCATCACAATCAAGGGAAAAGGGCTGTCTTTTAAAATAGAACAGCTGGTGCAATCAAAATATGTTAGAAATATATGACTCACAAACTTTTATTCTTCCTGAATATAAAGCAAGTTGTACTTGCCTCAACTGCCTAGAATCGTTTGGCCTCCTATTCATCTTACAGTAAGTCAGATGTTTGAAAGTTTAGGTAGTAGGGAAGAGGCCCATAATGGCTGGGTCAAGCTGCAGAGCTCTGTCCTTGCCTACACACCATGGCAGAGAACACCCCCTTACGGCCCCACTGCTGGCAAGACCTGGCTTTGCCCCTCCCAATGACTCTCCCCTTTGCCCCCAGTTAACTGGACCTGGGCTGGCACCTGACCCCACTCTATTAGGCCCATAGGCTGCTTGGTGACACGCAATATGGCTTGGCCCAGGAAAATGCGGGAACGAAATCAAATCTCCAAGTTTGAGGGTATGAATAGAGAAACTCAGTGAGCCAGAGGCAACCAGCAATGGCCACATGCCAGGCAGAGCTCTGGGGGAGCAGAAGCTGTTTGTAAGCAGGGAAAGCCCACCATTAGAGAGACCATGTGTGGCCTCAGAAATGGAGAGGGTATCGAGTCCCTAAGTTGCTTTGAACCTACTTTTCCAGTTTTAGGAGTAGTTCAGGCCATGTGTCTTTAAAAATAAAAATAAGCCCTTTCCTCTTCCAGGGAGGTAGGGGAGTAGGGATCTCTATTCCTCTAATCCACAGGGACTTACACAGAACTGGACCTCATCACAGAGTAACCCACTGCAGAGGTAGAAAGGTACTGAGCTAGGATTTTGAAGATGGTTATTGGTTCAGCTGTAACTAATTCATATGACTTTGAGTCATTTTATCTCTGAGCCTCAGTGTCCTCGCCTATAAAATTAGGATAAAATTTGTGTCTTCCTGTGAGGATCAAATTAGGTGAATGTCACCATCATTGTGGCTGCGGAACACTCACCCAGCAGAGACTACTCAAAGCGGGCAGGGGCAGGCTGAAAAGCTGTCGCGGAAGTGCCGTAAGAGAATCGGATGCAAACTTCAGAAGTAACAACAGAGTTGGAGAGCTACTGGAGAACCCCACTGGCTGGGAGAGACCAGCCAATTTGAATGTCACAATTCAGAGAGGGAACCTAGCTCTGAAAAGGGCACTGGGCAGCCTGCCAACGTTGGGCACAGTCAAGGATAGTAGAGGTGCGGGTGTAATTTGTGGTGTTTACACACTCTGGTGTAGAAACAGACTGCACTTCTCTGCCACACCTCCACGTGGACAGAGTTCTAGTGAAAAGAGGCTAGTCTGAGGGACCCCAAAACTAGTTTCTGTTCCTATCTTCATCAATTTGTGTGATGTTGAGAAAATCATGCTACTTTCTCCTTGGTTCTCTTGCCTACAAAGTAAGGGTGAATGATACCTACTTGGGGGTGGGGGAGAATATATTTGCATAATACTTTAGTTAGATGGTATGAAATGTTCTCATAAACCTGATCTTTTTATTTTTTATTTTTAATCCGCTCAACAATCTTGCAAGGCAGGTGAGGTAGAAGCAATTTTTTTTGAAGATTGACTGATTGATTGATTGGGGCGGGGGAGGGGGAGGTGGGGAGTGGTAGAGGGAGAGAGAATCTCCAGCCAAGTCCTGGCCAAATGCGGAGCCCAATGCAGGGCTCGACCCCATGAATCCTAGATCCCAACCCAAGCAGAAACCAAGAGTTGGACACTCAACCGACTGCACCACGCAGGTGCCCCAGAAGCAACTTTATGTTACAAATAGTGGATGATACTCACCTTGCATCATTATGTGCTGGGCATTATACCAAACCGTCACACATCCCCATCTCATTTATCCTGCATAGCAACTATTTGAAATGGGAACTATTGGGGCACCTGAGTGGCTCAGTCAGTTAAGCATCTGCCTTTGGCTCAGGTCATGATTCCAGGGTCCTGGGATCGAGCCCCACGTCAGGGTCCCTGCTCAGTGGGGAGCCTGCTTCTCCCTCTCCCTCTGCCTGCAGCTCTCTCTCTCAGTCAAATAAATAAATGAAATCTTTTTAAAAAATGAAATGGGAACTATTGTTATAATCTCTGGTTGATATATGAGAAACTTGAGGCTCAGAGTGGGCAAGCAAACTTGCCCACAGTCACTCAGCTAAGTAGTAAACCCAGATTTCCCAATTATAAGTCTAGAGTTTTCTATTATACTGAATTGCATATGTGAAAACACCTGGGGAAAATAAAGCTTAGAGAATGGCACAAATGGAAGAGATTTTTATTATAGCAAACCCCAGTTAATAGCTTTTATAGGGGGTGCCTGGGTGGCTCAGTTGTTAAGCGTCTGCCTTCGGCTCAGGTCATGGTCCCAGGGTCCTGGGATCAAGCCCCACATCGGGCTCCCTACTCTGTGGGAAGCCTGCCTCTCCCTCTCCCACTCCCCCCGCTTGTGTTCCCTCTCTCGCTGTGTCTCTCTCTGTCGAATGAATAAATAAAATCTTTAAAAAAATAAGTAAAAGCCTTTTTAGTTGGAGCTAAATTATGGTGGACATTAATAACCATTTTTTTGGTTATAAAACTTTTGGTCTTGTGGTACTTGGTAATGTCAGCAATTGTAAATTCTGAAATACTAGAGTAACATAAGGAAATGAAGACCTAGGAAGATCTGTAGGACAGTGGTGTACAGGATGGTGGGGGGGTCACAAAAATGTCAAATGGTGTGGGGAAGGAATACAGGATTAAGGAACATAGAAAGGCTATTGAAATGAAGTAAAGGGATGGGACCTAGACTCATTGCAGTAGTACTTTTCCTTTTTTTTTTTAAGATTTTATTTTTAAGTAACCTCTACACCCAACATGGGGTTCAAACTGACACCCCTGAGACCAAGAATCATATGCTCCACTGACTGAGCCAGCCAGACACCCCTAGTTCTTTTCCTTTTAATGAAATACAAATTTCGTTAAAATATTTAAAAACACAGAAATGGGAAAATAAATCAACCATTGATAATCCACTACCCAGAAATAACTGCTGCTAATATATTAACTATACGTATATTTTTTTAAAGCATGTATTATGTTGCCTCCAACAAAACAGGATTTGAAGAGCAAACACTGAAGGAACTTGGTAACTATCTAGATATGGGAAGATGTAATGGTATCAAGACCGAGCGTTGGCCACTCAGCCAACCCTAGGAAAGAAAGCCAGCTGTACTCTCAGACTTGCCCTCAAAAGTGTGGAATCGTGTCTCTATGGTTGTTTCTGTGCCGGAACGCAAGGCTACACTCTCTCCTTTTGCGGAACTCTATGGTCTGAGGACACCGCTGTGACCCCGGAAGCGGTCCTGGGAGGCCTGGACGGCAAGATGGCGGCGCGGGCAGCGCTGTGCTCCATGTGCCGGCGTCTCTGGCAGGTACTTGACGGGCTGGGGGTGCTAAGCCGCCTGACTGGACAGTAGCCACAAAATCTGATTGCCAGATGTCGTTCTGGCCATCGGGAACTTTCTCCGATGTTTATTCCGCATCCTGGCGTTTTGTTTGCCGGAAGGCGGCGAGAAAGGGGCTGGTTTTATTTCGAATTCTCTCATGGGATAAAACATGAGTCAGGGCAAAGACGGGAACAAGAAGAATCGTAGCATGTCAGAGCTGGAAAGAATATTGAACAATATATGTTCCAGGCCCCTCTTTCAGATTTGCAAAATACACTGAAGTTCAGAGGATTGCCTCGATAAAATTAGGGGCTGAACTGATACGAGATCTTAGACCCCTCTCATGGAACCAAATTGGGATACTTTTCTGATATCCGGATGTTGTGAGATTAGATGAGAGTCGTTGAAGTCGTAGGAATGGGTTAAGGATTCTCTTTGCCGTTCTTTAGAGACAAAGCAAGACTTAAGCAGTGATTCTCAACTTATTTGGCCTCAGTACCCCATTAACACTCTAAAACCGGTTGAGGGCTCCAAAGAACTTTTGTTTTTGTGGGTTTTAGCAATGAATATTTAGCTTATTAGAAAATAAAGCCGAGAATCTTAAAAATGCTTGTTCATTTAAAAATAAAATTAACTCGTGTTAATTAACTTTTTTATGGAAAGATAACTAAATTTTTCAGAGGTATAAGAGTGGCAGTGTTTTATATTTTTGTAAATCTCCTGTTAACCTTAAAAATAAAAATTACTTTACCAGCAAAAATGAGTTTATTTAGGAATAACAGAATTGCAATTTGGGACATGCAAGCTGTGGCAAAACTATAGGCAAGTCCCCAAATAAAGGAGAGGCACATTATTTTAGAGAGAACGAGGAAGTTAGGAGGGGCTGTTTTGAATGGAAGTCAATTGGAGAAAAGCAAGAGTTCAGGGCGAAGATGCTTTCTCCTTGGCTGAATTGCAGGGTAGTCAGTTTCTTGTAGAAGATTCAGTGTACATCTTTTTCTGTTGGGGCCTGTAATTGATCATTCTTTCCTGTTGATTATTCTTCCCTTGAGGCCTATAATTGGCAGTTCTTGTAACTGATTTTAAGTAGTGTGGATCCCCTTTTTAGCCTCCCTACTTGAGTGAGGTTTCCCTTTATTTTTACATCTCCTTTTGATTAAGATCTTTCTTTAAAAGCATTGCTGATTGGGAGTCAGGTTTCCATGTTTAGTGATTGTGTCCCTCAGTACCAGGAAGGACTTTTTCTGGTTGCCATGTCTTACGTCTGAGGGAAAGTACAGATTGGAAACCTACTGAGGTCACATTCAAGTAACAAGGAGGGGTGGCAGGGAGAATGCTCAGGCACTTCCATCTGTCAATACGTTATCAGGCTTGTAAGCATTGGAGATCATCTCCTTATTGGTTACATCGTTTTGACAAAAGTTGGACAGGCTAAGTACAAAACTTAAATAATTATACAAAACAAAAGAAGTAATGTAACAATTCCAAATTGTATGATGGTTTTAAACCAGGACCCTAAGTCTGAAGGTAGCCAACTGAAATATTTATTGGCACTTATTCCAACTTAGGGGAGGAAAGTTCCCCCTACAAAGGCAAACCTGGGGTCATGTATGCCTCCTGGAAGTCCCTGCTTAACGTAGCCATGAAGACAAAATAGTGAATACTGCAAGAACACGGTGAAAATTAACTGAGTGCATTTGGGAAAATATACTGTAGTCACAAACATGAAGCTAATAGCTAATGAGTTTTTTGCAAAAATAGCAAAACTTCAAAGGTATATGAAAACAATATTGTTATCTCAAAAGAACTGTTTGGAACCAAATGTAATCCAATAATACAGCATGTAAGGTTGCAAATTTCAGAGATCATGAATTTGGATAAGATGCCAGAGTCAGTTAATAGTCCAGATGAACAAAGAGACTTGTGAATGCTGAACCCTCTCACCCTTCAGAAAAAGCATGTGAAAGTTAATTTGTCACAGGATCATGACGAGGCTGTTTTCAAAAGGCCATAATCAAAGGAAGAGGTTTCCCCCTTTCACAGGGGTTTGGCAAATGCAGACAAGGGCATTTTCTTTCCACAAAAGAGATAGTCGAAGTAAATAGGAAAAGGTATACAGGCCTGACCTGGACACCTTGGGAAAGCTGTCTCTTCAGATGTCATCTGCTTCAGTTCTGAGAAATTTTTACTTTTAGGTCATCAGATGGTATACAGGTCCAGTCAGGGTTTGATGCTTTGTTTAGATTTGTCATGTGAACCCAGCAGTCTATTTGTTGGAGTTTGGCAGCACAAGTGTTGGTTAGCAGTAGTTGATGAGGTTCCTTCCAGCAAGGTTAAAGAGTCTTTCTGGACGTATCTTTACCAGTAGATGAAATCTCCAGGTTGCTTGGTGTGATGATTAAGGTCTGTCTCCCAGGAGAGCACTGTGAAGAGATTGCTTGACCAAAGCATGGTTGTTTTTAATAGAAGTAATTAGGCCTTTACAATGAAGTAGATATCCTTTTATCAGTTGTGGGTCAAGGAGGCAGGTACCAGGTTCATTGGGCGTCCTATGACTAGCTCAGAGATTGAGAGTCTGAGTTCCAAAGTGGGTGGATCTGAGATTCAGAAGGACCAACGGCAGTGCTTTTGGCCAAGGTATTGGGAGAGTCTCTACAAATTTTGCCAATTAAGTCTTAATAGTACCGTTAGTGAGTTTAACTAACCCTGAGGACTGAAAATGATATATATACGATAAAAGTGTTGTAAAACCAGCCAAACAGCACAGACTTGTCAAGGCACCTGACTGGTCACATGGTTTCCCCAATCACTCTGAAGTTCAAGAGGGGTTCCCCCAGTAGGAATAATCCTTTCTAACAGAACTTTAGCCACAGAAGCAGCAGTGGCCTGTCTATAAGGTAAAGCTTTAGTTCAGTGAGAAACATACAAACCATGACTAAAACATATTTATATACATGAGATGGGGGAGTTGTATGAAATTCCTGCAAAGATTTCTTTACATCGTACTTTGGACAGAAGGGATAAGTGAGGTAGATACTTTTTGCAGCCTTATTAATATTTCCCCATGAATATTGGTTAGTGATGCTGTCATTTTTTCAGTAGACCAATGGTTTAATACATGTACAGTGGTAAGTAGTGGGAATGTTAGAATTTCTGGTAAGGACAGATTGTTATTTGGTCCAGACCACAGTTCTCTTTTTATTGAGCCAACAATTACTCTCTTTCCGATACTGTTTTTCCCTCTCTGGGACCAATTGTTGAGTATCTCTGGTTAATTTTTCCAAATTATCATTTTGGGAAACATCCCTTTGGACCATGACAGAGATTTGGCTATTGATTTCTTTGAAAGCAGCATTTTTGTTGAAAATAGTAATGAGGTAGTTTCCTTTGGTGCCCAGGGAGTTGAGTCTGGAATGCCTGGGAACCTTAATAACAGAGCAGCCAGCCAAAGTATGGAATCAAATAAATTTTGGATATAGGAGACGTTGTTAATTTTATCCCCATTGGAGATTAGGAAACTTCTTGACTGCTTCCTAACATTCCAAAGTTATGAACTACCCCAAAGACATACTTACTGTTGGTATAAATTTGCAGCTTTACCCTTAGCCGAAATTCAAGATAGTTAAAGGGGATCCCAAGATTATTTCTTCAGTGGCCTTAACTAAGTGCCGTGGCAGGAATGGCTCAGAAGTTAGGGGAATATCCCCATGCTACAGGGTCTGGTTATTGGCTACAATACCCAACAGGTCCATCACGGTCCCCATGTACTGGGGTGAGTACTCCCAAGGGTGTTCCTTTCCCCTCCACATACAAAGAGTAAAAAGGGAAGTTGGTAATTAGGATGTCTGAGGGCAGGGGGCTTTATTAAAGTCCCAAAAGCTTTGTCTTCTCGATTTTTCCAAATAATAGGATTGGGTTTGTCATTTCTCTTTTTTTAGTAAAGCATATAGAGATTAAGCCATAAAAGAAGTTTCAAATCCAATTTCAACAGCGGCCGGCCAATCCAAGAAAACCTCATAATTGGCACTTCTTTTTAGGTTTGGGGAAGTTCAGGATGGTCTGAGGCCTCCCTGGATCCAAATGTAGGCTTTGTTCTGAGATCAGGTGCTCTAAGTATCAAACCTGAGTTTGAGCAAACTGCAGTTTTTTCTTTGGAGACTTTGTGTTCTTTTAAGGCCAAGGCCGAAAGCTTTAATAGGTAGATGGTATCTTACTGAGAAGGGCAGCAGAAAAGCAAATCACCTACATATTTTATCAAAGTAGAGCCTGCAGAAAACTTTGTCATCCAAATCCATTTTTAAGGTTGGTGAAAAGTAAGAACTCTGTGCAACTCTGAGGCCTTACTGTCCGGGTGTCTTTCCATCCTTCCCAAGTGGAAGCAAAAAGATATTGGCTATCCTTACCAACTGGAATACTAAAAAATACACTGTGTATTTCAATTACAGTGAAAATTTGCTTTCACTGGGAATGGTTGTCAGCAACATATGCAGGTTAGGAACAACAGGGTGCCAAGGGATAACAATGTATTGTTCAGAGGCCTTGGACAAACCTCCATCCTTGGCCATTGAGTTTTCTCACAGGTAAAATAGGGGTATTACTTACTAGGACTAGTGCAGGGGATAATGAGCACCCTGAGCTTTGTAATCATCTGTTACAGGCTTGATGCCTTGCAGGGCTTCTTTCTTTATAGGGTATTCATTAATTGTGGGGAGAGGTTTTGAGGGATCTGCTTGAATCTTGATAGGAAGTGCGCGTGGATTCTGCAGATCAGTTGAAGATTTTGCCCAGAAAGAGGATTTGTCCCAATAGGAATAAACTGTCCCCACATGCAACTATAGTGCTATCAGACATGGAGCAAATAAGAGATGTCAAAAGGTTGTTTAATCCCCCTGGTTGGCCATTTTGATTACTACTGTCAAATTCTAGAATTATTTCCCTCTTTTGGGAGAAGGAAATTCCAGCACGATATGTTTATTAAAAAAATC